GATATCAAAAAAGTACTCCAGAGTGTTGTTCAGCATGGGGGTGAGTAGAAAATGAAGGCTAATCATGTTTTGGGTGTACTATTCCTTTAAACTAACCAGCTTAACATTAGAGGCGACTGACATGGCCTCTGCTTCATGTTTGGCATAACATAAGGAGTAGAATAGTTGTTAGCAATTTCCTTGATGCCTATGGATATTACTTGGTCATGTATTTTAACCACTGTTTTCCTTCCACTAAACTTTCCATTAATTCTGTGAACTACCAGAATGAATGAGTGGCTTACCTTCCTTTTCATATCTCAGTGCTATTAAATATATAATGATATAACCTAACCTTTCTGGATTGAGAAGTAGTTTTATTGGCCAATTTAATATTTTTATTTGTATTGAAAAATTATGTTTTTGGTTTTAATTAGCTTTTAACCTTAACTATCAAAATGAGAACAGTGTCTGAGTGATAGCTCTGTGCGGCATGTGTCACATTTCAGTAAGCTTCTGTTTTTCAGAACCACCTCTCTGTGATAATTGGCTTGCGAGGAGAGAAACCCATCAGCGCTGCTACACATATTTGCTGCCATTTATTTATTTATATGTTAGAGAAATCATTAATTTGTCTGCATGTATGTTTGCCAATTATTTTCCACAGAGGAGCTCCACACCGAGTGGGAGTGACAAAAGTAAGTAATCACCAACACTGATTAGTTCTTTAGCGTGACATAAGATTGGACTTTATCTTTCTAAATGATCGTTTTTTAAACATTGTGGGTCAACAGTTGCTGAGTTCGATGGGTTACCATGTGGTGGCACTGGACTACAGAGGTAGGAGCTCTCTATTGTCTTCTTTCTTTGTTCCCTCTCTCCTCTCAGATCCAAGGTCCTTTCCAGTTCATTTTCTCTTCTCTGAAGCCCTATGATCCCTGTAGACCTTTGTATTTGCTCTCTATGAGTTGTTGGCTGTGAAGCAGCCTAAAAGCAGCAGTTCAACCTCAGGTCAGCCTTGAGTGCAGGTTTCCCTCTTGAGTTACAGTAGTGCCATCTCCTGGTGGAGAAAAGCAGTCTTTCTACAGCTCTGTCTCTGAGCTGCAGCTGATGTGAGAACCTTTGGCAGGTTTTGGAGACTCCACCGGAGAGCCGACCGAGTCTGGCCTGACCACAGATGCCCTGCATGTGTACAACTGGGTCAAAGCTCGCAGCGGGGACAGCCTGGTGGTCATCTGGGGACACTCTCTTGGCACTGGGTTAGCAGAAAAAACACAAACCTTTACACTCTGGCATCTTAAAATTAATGTTGGATCCAAAATTGAAAATGCAAACAGTTAAAACCAGATATTGACAACAGAGTGAAAAAACACACCTATTATTTTCTCTTTT